CTCAATTAGAAAATTGTGGTTAATTTGAAGTTAATACATTTTTCCCTTCTCACTATTTCACATATATAGTTTACTCGCTATTTCACATATATAGTTTTACATAATTTTTTTGAAACATGATTGAATGTGATTGAAGTTCAATCTTATCAGTTCTTATTCTTAAGAATTTCCCTTCTCACTAAGAAATTACTAAGAAATTGTTAAAAGGCCTAACCAGTGGCCCCTACACAAGCTTGACAAATCTACATCTTAACCTAAATTTGCATTGAACTTCTTCTGACCAAACAACAGAATATATCGGTATGGGACGATGTTTATTCATCAACCACAACAAGAATTCCGTGGATAATATATTTGGAGAGGATGCGTTTAAGTACACGATTGTTGATACGCATGTTTTTCAAAGAGAAAAATTACATTTGCATGCATTTCATTTATCGAGACTCACAAAATTGTAGTGATTTAATAGGAATTAAGGAACTTGCAAATGAAAAAAAAATAATAATCTATATCTATCTATACTACTATAAAAGGAGGAGTATTTTTGTAAAAATTCATAATGCCTAAAAAACCCTTACTTTGACATAAATTTTATGGCAAATTAGTAATACACTAATACGCATCATATTTTATTTATATTTTTAATTAAAAATGAACTACCTAAAAAATCCTTACTTTGACATATTTTTAATGGCAAATTGGTAATATACTAATGTCATCAAATCTTATATTATTAATTAATAACTAATATCAATTAATTAAATGCAAAAACATGAACAACTCATTCCACACTCCTAAAATAAAATTGTTTTCTTCCACATATCTTTAAAATTGTTTAATATAGAAACATTATTTTCAAAATAACCTATAAAAAATGTGTGATAGTATGTGAAATTAATTGTTGAAAACACTTGTAAAACTAGAAATCGATATTGTTTTTCTCATAACAACCACAAGATATTGAAACATTATTTTCAAAATAACCTATAAAAAATGTGTGATAGTATGCGAGATTAATTGTTGAATGATTGTTCTGCAACATAATCTTCTAATCTATTCAATTTCTTTACTACATAA